CAGAGTGCACTGGAGCTACGCTCGAGTTACAGTCAGAGTCAGCAGCAGAGAGGTGATTCCCCCTCAAAGTTTCGCTCTTCCCTCCGATGCAACGCGGTTGATGGGATTTTTGTGGAGAGCAGAGCAGAGAGGGAAGAACGTTTCGATGACAAAGTGCGACGAAAAGTTGCTGCGCGGAAAACATATTTTTCTCGCACCGTCCCCTAGACGGTCGTGGTGGCGGTGGGGGAGGACCATCGACCCCCAGGTAAGAGAGACGACGCCGATAAACTGTGTTTTTCTCTCCTCTAGCAGGAGTTCTAGCATAACATTCATTTTGACGCGAATAACTAATTTGCAATGTCGCTTTTTCATCATTAACTTCCAAGTCCAAAAACATTGGTGGGGGGCTTCTATTGTATTGCCACTGCTACCCCCAAAATGAGCTAAGTGGGTAATTATCTGGTGTCGAGGCTGATGATTCAGAGTAATTATCCTTCCATTTGCTGTTATCGACTACATTCCACGCACGTGGCGATGGCTGCTGGTGTGGGTAATGGGAAACTTTTTGGACATGTGTCTCTTTTTTCTTTCCTTTTTTTTTTTGGTTTCAGTGCGGCCCCTTCCCTCCCCAGCCTCATTCCTCGTATATGCAAAACCGCCTATTACTCTTGTGATGCATGGAGGCGGCTATGTCCCCCCCCCCCCCCCCCCCCGCTTTCTCTCCCTCTCTCTCCCTCTTTCTCTCTGTGCTTTAGATGCGCCATAGCTACCGTTCTGGCGTTCTGGCTTTTCCGAGAAATGTGCAGAGCGCGATCCGGCAGGGCGTACCATCTATAGCTCCACATACGAGACCTGTTTGTGGCGTGGGGGGGGGGGCGTCTGCTCACAGCCTCACTCACCACACCGCACGCGTGCTGTTTCGATAGGCAGCAGGCCTGGCCCGCCGGGACCGTCCGTGCGCAGATCTGCTGCGATGAGCGATGCTGCTCCCCCTGCTCCCCGCTCCACCACCCGGCACACAAAGATCTGCGCAGTGCTGCTGGCTGCTGTTGGCTGGAGCGATAGCTGTCTGCGCAATTTGCCTAAAATGGTGTTGGTGCGCGCAAAGTACGGGTGGAACGC